GACCACGCCAGTCGAAATCTGCCGCCAGCTTCCCATCGTCAACGGCCCCGCAGCGGTCTTCTGCAGGTCGACCAACTCCGTCGACCTGCACGCGTCGACCTCTGCGGATGGTCGGTCGCACCTCTCGCGCACCCAACCACTACGTCGGCTTCGCCCAAGCGAGTTGCGGGACCAACACTCTATTCCCGTCAAGAATGGGCTGCTACCGCCTTGTCCCCCCTTCTCGCTCTCACGGTGGACTTTCGCAAAGCTTATGACCTGGTTGACAGGCCCTTCCTCCTCCGAGAGATATCGTGTTTGGGTCTCCCTGCCCCCTTCATCCTTTGGTGTGCCTCATGCACTCTAACACGTCCACACACATCTCGGTTAATAGCATGCTTGACGGACGCCCGCACTTATGGTTGTTGCTTGTCTATGTCATTTTGATCTTCCGCTGTCACATGCCACTCTTCCTCCCAGGCTATGCCCTGTCGGAAGCACAGAGTCATGTGTCATGCGGATGATGTCACCCTTTTCCTAAACTCTGACATAGAACTTGGACAAGTCGTGATGCTTATCCTTGCATGTGGGTCTGTCTCCAGATAACACCCCAACTAGAACAAGTGCTTCATCATTCCTTTCAACATCCCCTCCAAAGACCTCTTGTACGCGGTGCATATCCCCATCCATGGCCCTCACGAGGCAGAATGCATCCTCGGCATCTTTGTCGAGCGTAGAATAATCTCGCGCGCATACAACGTACCGCCAAGTTCCTTGCGGCTTTACTCGCAATAGCCATGTGCCGCAAATGTTTTGCCTCGATCTTCCTGGACTTTGTTGTCTTCTTCCCCGGGTGATTCCAACCGGTTCCCCCGGACAGTCTCAAATGCTTGGATGTGTCCGTTGGCGATTTCATTTTCGCCTCACATCACAAACAGTCTGGCACTGCGGCCTGGGGGCAATCGCCCCTTTAACACAAGTAAGCGTTATCTCTATTCAACGCGCCCTGCGCAGGTTCAGACCAACCCCCTCTGAAGAGGTTACGCACACTCTAGTCCCGCTTCCCTTCGGTATGCAATGCATGTTATCAAACATTGCCATTCTCGAACGTGACTACCTACCCACCTCCATAACTCCCCGTGTGCTGATTGTACTACGACCCCTCCATTCTACCCCCCTTGCCATCCATCTCCCCCCCCTCTCTTCGCCCGCTCTGAATCCTCTCCAAACCCACCACTTTCAACCATTCCATCCTCAAACCCAACCGCTGGCCGTTTGGCTCTTGCCAACATGAATGCTTCCTCCTCTCATGGCAGGTGTGTTCAACACATGGTCAGAGTAGCATATTCTTCCCTCAGCCCAAACCCCAAAGTTGAACCTCGCCAGCTCTCGACAGATATCCATTTAGATGTATCACGCACCCACCCAGCTCTTATCGCTGCTATTCCACCGGTGGTCCATTCTTCGCTCCCCTCATGTCCCTTTACCCTCCCCCAGGGACTGGGTTTGTGACCTCGAATGAAGCGGACTCCTCTCCTCATGTCGCTCTCCAAGTTGTCTCCTTCAACCCTACTTCCTCTATCTTGGCTAGTATCCAACCCTAGTTTATCGCCCACACCCCCCTCGTACTGCGGCACACCTTCTTTGGGTGTTGTGTCGCTGGAGACTTCATATTGGCTCTCCGTACGGTCGCCGAATGCCATCTAGAACACTCTACTTTTGCCGGAACAATTATTCAACGGCAGACTTGCGCGGGTAGTCTCTCCCCCATCGTGAGTAGTGACAGGCGAGTTTTGAGCTGGGAACTTGAGAAGGCCAGGCAGTTTGTGAACCAAAACTTGAGAGCCTCTCGTTCCATTCATGGGGTTAGTTTAGGGTTTGTGCCTCACAAAATGTCGAACTAAATGGTCTTTGTGTTCTAAGGGCGTAACTTTTCCGTCCGGACGGAGGCCCATTCGAACTTTGGTAGGATTACTGTTTTTGCCATATTTCGGCGAAGAGTTCGCAAGACTTTGTGCGACGTTGCAACCGTCCAAACGAAATGTAACACCTTTATGTAAAAAATGGCCCAGATGAAAGGGGTAGACACCGTCGGAACGACATATCGGACCATTCGTTCTACATCACAAAAACCCTATGCCAAGTTTGGACGAATTTTGATTTCGATTGTCTTCGCGTAAAAAAATCCGGAGCCGATTTGGACTGACGGTTGGAGTCATTTGATAGGAGCTCCGAGACACATCTTGCGACAAGGTTTGGCTCGGTTCAAGTTCCAATTTGGCACGCGAGCTTTTCCGGATGACATTCCGGGCAATCCGTTTTGTTGCAAATTCGTGACCAAATTATTCAGAACTAAATTCTGTTTTTTGTTCATTTTGGATATTTGCATTTATTATTGCGGTTTACAAGAACCATTATTCAGCATTCTAGCAACAAGCAGTCTTAGCACCAGGTCAAATAGCCTACGCACTGGCGGGCCGTGAAAGCGCCCGGTGGGCAAGGACGACATCTCCAAGGTCGCCGTCGTCGATGAGGAACTTGTTCGGAAAGACGAACGCACCCATAGCCGGATTGTGGGGGATCCTCCGCTCCACGACAGCAAAATGGATCATCTGTTTGACCTTTTCGCACCACTCCTGGTAGTCTGGCCTGTTCTGCTCCGGCTGGCTACTGATTCGCTTGCGACGCTTATCCTGCAGAAGGGGCCATTCGATCTGCATTGTGGTGTAGGGTTGGGTGGATGGTTTATGAGAAGGGTAGGTTACGGGTAAATGAGGCAACTGAAAGCGGTGATGCAGTCGTCACAATCTACGTAACTGCAAAGGCCTAATCGACCAGGGTTTTAGCTGAAGTACAGGCAAGGGGTTAAGGGGATGAGGCATGGGGGTACAAACACATATCTACATCCTTACCGAAAACAGGCCCCATGCCACCATGCGGCTCTTGAACTTGGTGAACACCGCCCCGCCCCTCTTGAAGGAGAGCTTGAACGCATAAGCGAACAAGGGGTTGCTGAAGGGTGTCCCGGTGGCCTTGTCAAAGTGCCAGTTGAGGGCCCACTGTTCTACTTTTTGGCAGGGAGGGTATGGGTTGGAAAGGGTTTTGTAGAGAAATCAAATGGGGGGATGAGAGTCAGGGTGAGCCACATCGCACGGTGATATGTACCATATGGTAGGGCATTTTGTGTTTTCGAGTTGCAATGCACATACCATCTCTGTACTCGGCTAGGAGTTGATCGTCGTCGAACCAGGTCGTTGGGTGTAGCTCAGTGGGCAGGCTATCCACGAGATGGCTGTAATCGGCAAGGCCCATGCCGGTGTATGCTGCTGGCCTGAGGGTGGAGTTGATAGTTGACCTTGTTGAGGACAACTGGTGGTTGAAGACTCCCATGGTTGACTTGTCATTGTGCAACCACAGCAGCTTCATTGCCTCGAGCCCTTCTGCAGACAAGTGGACAGAGAACGCTTCGAACACTTCCTCCGGTGCAGGGTAGTACTGTATTTTCTCCGGCGGGTTCAGAAACATGAGCTGAGAGCACACTAAGTAGGCTTTGTTCTGCGCAGGGGTGTAAGGTATACAAGACGACATGGAGGAGAGAAACCAGCAGTTATGAGGGTGGCCGTGTGACCATGGGATGGTGACTAGCAACACTGTTTGAACTTGCCACGTCACACCCTGCGCCATCCGACACGTCCACCAACAGCCCGGCCCACTTGCCACGTCACACCCCCCTACCACAAGCCACGTCACCCCCCACCTACCTGACACGCCTCGCTTTGTCATGCGCAGTGGTCACGTGTACCATTTCTAACTGCCACGTCATCCCCAACCCTCACCTTCCGCGAGGTCACACCCACCTGCATCCACCACGTCATCCCCAACCCTCACCTTCCGCCACGTCACACCCTCCTTGTCCGCCACATCCACCAACCAGCCCCACGTGCCACGTCACACCCTCGTGCATCCGCCACGTCCACCAACAACCAGCCCCACGTGCCACGTCACACCCTCCCATCCCATGCCATGTCACCCCCCACCCACCTGACACGTGTCGCCTCGTCACGCGCCGCTCCCGTGTACCATTCCAAACCGCCACGTCAGCCCCAACCCTCACATTCTGCCATGTCACACCCTTTTGCATCCGCCAACAACCCGCCCTACTTGCAACGTCACACCCCCCACCAAGAGCCACGTCACCCCCCACCCACCTGAGACGCCTCGCTTTGTCATGCGCCGCTCACGTGTACCCTTTTAGGGAGCCACGTCATCCCCAACCCTCACCTTCCGCCACGTCACACCCATCTGCATCTGTCACGTCATCCCCCACCCTCACCTTTCGCCACGTCACACCCTCCTGCATCCGCCACGTCCACCAACCAGCCCCACGTGCCACGTCACACCCTCCTTGTCCGCCACGTCCACCAACCAGCCCCACGTGCCACGTCACACCCTCCTGCATTCGCCACGTCCACCAACAACCAGCCCCACGTGCCACGTCACACCCTCCCACCCCATGCCACGTCACCCCCCACCCACCTGACACGCGTCGCCTCGTCACGCGCCGCTCCTGTGTACCATTCCAAACCGCCACGTCAGCCCCAACCCTCACATTCTGCCACGTCACACCCTTTTGCATCCGCCAACAACCCGCCCTACTTGCCACGTCACACCCCCCACCAAGAGCCACGTCACCCCCCACCCACCTGAAACGCCTCGCGCAGTCATGCGGCACTCCCTTGCACCCTTTCACACCGCCACGTCATATCCCAACCCTCACCTTTTGCCACGTCACACCCAACCCGCATCCGCCACGCCCACCAACAACCCGCGCCACTTGCCACGTCACACCCACCCACCCCATGCCACGTCACCCCCCACCCACCTGATACGCGTCGCCTCGTCACGCGCCGCTCCCGTGTTCCCTTCGAAACCGCCACGTCAGCCCCAACCCCGCCCTTGTTGCCACGTCAACCCCAACCCTCCCCATGTGGCCCGCCACATACCGGGAATGGGTTTGTCTCCTACAACACTAGCACTCGTGCCTTGTCCACGGCGCTCATCGGCGGCGGGGTACCAGCCATAGGCAGGGCTGCCGACCCGCCGGCATAGCTGGCAGGTACTCCACGACGCAGGCCAAGCTGTGCAAACATGGCATACATCTCAGACCGCAGCGCCTGGAACTCCTCCCGTGTAACAAAATGCTCGTGCTCCGCACTTTCACCTAGGGCACCCATGAGCGGAGGAAAAGGGTGTGAAGAATCCCCCCTCTGGCCAAGGGGATCAACGTCTTCTGCAGCAGTCCCGTGTGCCCTCACACCATCACGCTGGCGGGAAAAGGGGAGCTCAGGGAAGGGATTGGCATAACTGCCTGCCTGATGCCCGCGCGAAAGATCGGCGAGAGGGGAGACCGCCCTGCCCCGGACAGGAGAAGCGTGGAGTTGCCGAAATTGGTACGAGGGTGAGGCGAGTGGGGACTGCGTGACGGGGGCGGGTGGAGGGGATTCGGATTCCTCTCCTCCTGGCGCGCCTGGTGCCGTCGCAGCGACTTTGCTCGGGCCGGCCCATGGCGTGTAGTACCTTGGTGCTTTGGAGGAGAGCGGTGTAACACTCGCTCTTCCGGCAGCCTTCGTTAGATGCATTCGTTGCACGCTTACGAGCGGCCCAATGCCTGAAACGCGAGGGGCTGAGATGTAGAGGGAGTCGGAAAAAAAAAAATAGAGTCGATCGGTTTGAATCTAGATCGGGTTCAGGGTTGTACTGGTTTGAGACAAGAGGGTTTACCTTGCTTGGCAGATTCGTCGACATCCTCCTTCCCTGCATGGGAGAAACAATGTGAAAAAGGGTGTTTTTTGGCCCGGTTTAGCAGATGGTTCAACACGTCACGCCAGTTTTATTGGACACAATGCTCACCTTTCTGCTGTCCCTTCGGTTTTGGGGCAGCCTGCGCCTTCTCGTTGCCACCTTTCCGCGGGGTGCTTTGGCGGACGCTGCGACGTTTACCGGCAGGTTCTTTCTTGCTGGTACCCACTGGAACCCCTTTGGTGCGGCCACCCTTTCCTCCTCCATCCCCTTTTGCTCCCTGGCTCCCTTGCTTTTTACCTTCACCTTACGCGAATTCGGTTTGCCCGATGCTTCGCCGCGCGCAGCGTCAACTGCCCCGCGTTTTCGGGAAGGGCGAGTCCGGCCCCCCTCCTTCCCTGTACCACTCACCCGTCTGCCACGCCCGCCTCGTCCCATCACTGGCGCCAAATCCTCCTCCTCCTCCTCCTCCTCCTCCTCCTCCTCCTCCTCCTCCTCCTCCTCCTCCTCCTCCTCCTCCTCCTCCTCCACATCCTCCTCCTCGTTGTCACCTTGCTCCTCCTCCTCCTCCTCCTCCTCCTCCTCCTCCTCCTCCTCCTCCTCCTCCTCCTCCTCCTCCTCTACCTCCTCCTCCTCCTCCTCCTCCTCCTCCTCCTCCTCTGCCTCCTCCTCCTCCTCCTCCTCCTCCTCCTCCTCCTCCTCCTCCTCCTCCTCCTCCTCCTCCTCCTCCTCCTCATCCTCCTCCTCCTCCTCCTTCTCCTCTTCGTCCTCCCCACCATCCTTCTCATATTTTTCACCCTCCCCAACATCCGCGTCATCCTCCTCCGCTTCCTCTTCATCCTCTCCCTCCGCATCCTCCTCCTCATCCTCCTCCTCCTCCGCATCACCGGGGTCTTCATCGCCCCGTTTTGGCTTTGTTCTCGTCGCTGCTTTCTTGCCTCTCCTTCCGCCGGATGCTTTTCTTGCTGCGGGTCGGCCCTTCTGGCGCAATGCTTGACCGCTCGCCTTGCCACTAGCTTCCTTGGCGCCTCGCGGTGTCCCAACTGCCGCGCCTCCGGCGTCGTCAGCACTACCTGTCCTCTGCCGCCTCTTCGCCCGCGTAATAAGGTCCCCGGGCACGGCGGTGTCATAATCGTCCTCCCCATCGCTCTTCCTCTGCCTACACCTCCCCCGTCCACCAGAAGGTGGAGAGCCACCGACCGGCCCCACCGACTCGTGCTCCCCCACCTCGTCCTTATCCAGCACGGCTGCAGAAACTTCGACCACGGTCGGCTGGAGCAGCGTCAGATGGTGTTGCGTTGCCGCCGCCTCGGACTCCTTGGTTGCGGCATGCTTGGCGCGGGGATCGCCTCCGTGATTTCCCTCTGTCGCCGATCCCTCCATCTCCGCCGACGGGAGTGCAAGACTCGCGCTCCCTCGCCCCGGATCTTCGTTGCCGCTAGTGGTGCCGTCTTTACTCGGACCGGGCTCGGTTCCAGCAGAGGCAACATCCGCATCTTTGTTCACTGTAGAAACACGCTTGCGTGGCGTTGGTTTAGGCCCCTTGTCTTCCGCTTTCTTGCCGGCCTCCTGTTGACCGCGCGCGACCTTTTTTGCCGCCAATTTTTTCTGCCCAATGCCACGAGCGACAGACGCATTAGTTTTTTTAGCGCCGCCACCACACTCCCTATCGATTTGTTTAGACGTCCTCCTTTATCGATTTGTTTAGACGTCCTCCTTGTCGCACGGCGGCCGGCCTGTTCCTCCTCCATTGCTTGGTTACGTGTTGCACGTGTCATGGTAATTGTAGGAGGAGCAAAGTTGCAAATCGCGCGGAAGGGTTGAGCCGGTTTCGAAAGGAACCTGCAACTGAATCCCACAATGGGATTATCGACGGTCTATCACTGTTACGTGTTTCCGAAAACCGCCGCTTCAACTAAATCTGTCATAGTAGCCACTATGCTTCGCGCTAAGGCCGATCTGGAGAGGCGTGTGTCAAGGCAACGAGCAGCGTCAAAGTGTTGGTCCAGGGAGTGACGGAAGCAGGTGGGTGGGACACGAGGGTGGTTGGGGTGGGTTGCGAGACTAGAGACAGTAATGTAACCCTATCAGGCTATATTGGATGGTGTACGTGTAGCCACCCTAGCATAAACCCACCTACCGCTCGATCTCAGCCGCTCAATGGCTGAAGTACCTCTTGGCTGATGACTGTGTTGCGGGGGGAATCGTTTGAGATGCATCGGCCAATCACGGTTGCCAACGCATAAATCACTAAATTTTATTCAAACATACAATAATGCATTTCATCAAACTCTAAGTTGCAAATGGTTTACCACGGGGTTGGGGTAAGTTAATCGGTGATTCTTACGTCACACACACAACGACCGTCCAGAATTATTACTTGTGACAGATGTACTGTGCACTTTTGGCTTTGCCACAATGGTTTAGGGCCAGCAGACGACATTCTAACACGATTATCAGTAGTAACAAACGTGAATCCGTTGTGGTATGGTGTTGGATTGTCATCCATTCTTGCACAGACATTAAATAAGGTGCTTAGAAGGATTTGTATGAAGCACAGGCCCAACGCACAAGCGTGTCAGAACATTATAGCTTATACATTTGTGTAGGCTGTAGTGGGGTAGCCCATAAGGGGCACAACCCAATTAGGGTTAGTACTTGTACCCAACTGTTTCATAGTTCATTAATCCATTCTCACTTCTCGTCAAAGCGTAGATGCGTTATCGACAACCATGGTTAGACTGTGCGACGATGCAGCGTTCAGGCCTGCGGGTTGCGCGACATGGTGAATCCGTTGTGGTATGGTGTTGCATTGTCATCCAACATTGCATGGACATTGAAACCGTTGTGTTATTGTACGACATTGTCATCCATTCTTGCATATTCATTCAGCACGGTGCGTAGAGGTACACTACACCTTGAGAGAAGACAGGCTATAGGTATTCGCTCCACGCAACAATCATACGTTAGGGCATGGAGTTATTGGGTACTTCCCGTATCGTTATCAAGTAAGGGTTGTTCAACATCAGTCCTAAGGATATGAATCTTTACTAGTTATGAATGACTTGAGTGTCTTGTTAAGTTGTAATTGTACATTTTCATTTCCATGTTTGTTTGAAGCCTCTTGAGCTCACCTACGTGATTCTGATTTCCCCCCTATATCGATTCGTGACACAATCACACATCCAAACGGATCTCTTCCCGCTCTTCCTCATCCCCATCGACTCTCACGCACGGTTCCTAAACACAAGTTCTTGATTCAATAGGCACGTCCTTCTCACCGTGCTCGCGACACACACACACGACCGTGAGACTTAAGATCCTCCGCATTCTCCTCTGCTCACGGCGTGGTCACTCTAAACGGGGGCGACACGCCTTGTAGGGAAGACGGCCCGTGAGGTGGGCGGTCTGTATCGTGCCTGGTAACGACCACGCGGCTCGACATCGTTAGCCAGTCATAAACATTAGCGCCAATGTCAAGTGCCAGTCGTGCAGTGATACAAGCCGCCCACCACAGTGCGCGCATTGGCGATGATTTTGTAGCTGTCACAGGCTTCTTGAACAGAGTACTTAATGCGTTCACAAGCTTCATCACGACTAGTAGCTTCATAGGCAATTTCTCGACTCTACAACGGATCCGTAACACATGGGCTCTTTACCAGGCGTCGTCTGCGAGTTCTGCAACAGATAGTTCCCCAACGCCCAAGTTTATGGCAGTCATAAGTCACGGCGGACCCCTTGCCAAGGACTATCCGCCGTGGCAAGGCCGACGCGATCTGCACCAACCGCCGGTCTTCACGCTCTACTGTTCGTCCACGACATTTTGTTGGACGCTCCAGCCGCTCCCGGCTCACCTACAGCGTCTAACGCATCCAACGCCGTCAGTGTGAGCGGTCCTCCACGCGTGCATGAAGCTCACGTTGACGAAAATCCCAACGACGTGAACGAGGGGCCTCCTGAAGATGAACATCAACCACAACCAGGAGCTCCTGCGGCTGACACGAGTGACCATCCTGAGAGGCGGCCCGAAGGGAGTCATGCCGCGCCGCCAACAATCATCTCCGGACAGAGCAATGCCACGCCCCTCAATCCGCTCGCGTTGAAGCTGCTGCATTTCGTTCAGCGCGTGAATGGCGGAATGGGAATGGCCGAGGTTGACATCAACAGCCTGCTTCAGCTAGTTGTAGAGCCCGGCCTTGCGCCTCTTGTGATCTCGGAACTCTGGAACTGTAAGGATCTGGAGCGGTTCGAGATGGAGCGTTTGGCAGGGCTCAATCGCGGATGGTCGGTGGCGACCTTCGAGATTGACGGTCATCCACCACAGCGCTTGCTCTTTCAGAACTCAGCCCAGGTAAGCCGACTTTGCATTCAAGGCCATGAAATGATGATGAGGCACACAGGGTTTGCATGTACGTAGTTATCCTTGTATTAACCGTACACCCACCTTCACCACCACTAACCATGCCTCTCCTCTCACCTCCCTTCGCCACCATACACCAGGCATCCGCTGAAATGTTTGGACATCCCAACAACGCGCCCGGCTTCAAGCTCAAGGCGCGTGTTGATGAGGACCCTGACGCAGGCAGCCGTCGCTATACCACGCCTGAAACAGGAACGTGGTGGAACGATGTTCAGGTAAGGAAAGACCACGTTGCCACCCCAAACCCAATCCTTCCTCATGCCTCCATCGCTGCACTGATCTGTCAAGAGCATCTTGAGCCCTGTGTGTCCGTTGCCGGGGGGATCATCTTGTGGATTGCACCTTTGTCATGCACTGCACGAACACTTCGGTTGGTCCGAAGTTGTGGGGGGGATCATCTTGTGTTCGGATGTGACGCACATGAGCATCAACGGCCGGAAGAAGGCGTGGCCGCTCATGATGACGATGGCCAACATCTCCCAGGCCAAGCGATGGGGGGAAGCCGGGCACACACTACTTGCCCTCCTTCCTATCCCCCCGTCTGCAATGTCTACCGTAGAGAAGGTGATGCTCTTCCAGCGTTGCGTCATCACCGTGCTGCAGCCGCTTCTTGATGGCATCGCCAGGTTTGTACTCGGTTTGCATCTTGCTAAGACATCATCTCACCACCTGCATGGTATGCAAACCCTCTCTGTATGTAGCATGGCCCTTTGCCCCTCGTCGTTCCTCCCTAAAAGCCGTAACCCGAATTCTTGTTGCCCCTCTACCTGTTCCTTGCAGCGGTTTCCGTCTCAGGGACCCTTTCGGTGATTGGCAAACCGTGCGGCCCCTGCTGTACGCCTGGGTGTGCGACTACCCCGAGAGCGGCAAGATCAGTTGCACACTCTCGCATGGATCGCGGATGCCGTGCAGCATTTGCTATGCTGCAAAGGTGAGGTCACATGCCATCTGCACGCATTCAAATACATTCTCGTTTGTGGTCGCCTGATAGAACCCACATAGCTACCACCCTTACCTTTTCTATCCCATCCTTCACCCCCGTGCTACAACAGGAGCATCTGAGTGCTGTCAAGGCACGGAACACGCCGCGCACGCCTGAACAGCAGCAATAGATCGTTAACGAGGCGGCTGGGACGACAACTAGCCAGGCTGACCCGTGCAAGGCCTACTCTACCTACCCTGTTGAGGTGAGTGACCTGTTTCCCTAGCCCATGAGTAGTCTATGCTCTCGCCCACCCCGTCATGAATTGCCAGATGTGCTCTGCCCCATTGAACTCACCCCACTTGTGGTTTAGGTTAGCTATCCACTCTCACGTACATCTCTACTCCATTCCCCACCACATCCCCATTTCCAGTGCGTGCTCTGGAAGTGGGATGTCCCAGGGACCGCGTGGGGAAATCCCTACCTCGTGGTGATGCCTGACATCATGCACCAGGCGGACCTGGGCATCATGTGCCACATTGTGGCTGTCGTGCGCAAGATGAAGAAGCGGCGTGTGAAGCAGATGGACAGGTCAATGTTTTGGGGATTGGATTCGTTGCTCTTCGTCACATTCAGTCAAACCATAAGTTCTGTCCTATTACTGACATGTTTCTGCCCTTTTGCCACCGCTGAACTGATGTGTATGGGCAGGCGCTTGTCTCTCATTCGCGACCGCACGCGCCAGAATCACATGCGCCTGCCGGAGAGCGCCTACTTCGAGACCGGAGCATGTGTGGTGGCCTATGAGCACAGGGCTGTCATGCAGGTATGAACCCTCCATTCCCTGTTGCTTGTCCTAGCCTAAACCCTCAAGTAGTCTGCTTATGCTGCCATTGTTTGTCCCAACTCCTCACACCATCTGTGCTCACCCTTCCCTTTGCTGCTATCCACATTCTTTGCAGGTCATGGTGTTTGTTTTTGCAGGCCTGCTTCGCCAGCCCCAGATGGATGTCGTTCGTGCCTATCTTGGCTGGTACATCC